TAAATTCCTTGCAGTATTCCCGTGTTGTGTTCAAACCACTGTCTCTTGGTCTAGGTATACGTTTTGCATGAATACAACTGAGTTTTCTGGAATTCCTACTCTTCACAAAGATATCAGTAGTGTGCTATGATTGATCTACTAAACCAAAAGCTTTCCATAGCAAATAAAGCACAAATAAACATATTTCTGGAATTTTCTGCTTTCAGCAAAGATACATCTGATATCAGCAGTGATATCCCTCATTCCACAGTGTCTTCAGAATCTGGATTGGATTTCTGGAAATTCCCTGACAATGTGCTGCTACAACTATTTTTAAAAAATTATTTTCAGCAAATTTTAACTTAACATGTTCTATTAATAATCTTATTAGGTGATTTCTGCATTCTGTTGGGTCATTCTTTTGGGGATGAGCACAAATATGAATCTCTTCCAGTTGGTTGGGTCAGTAGCTACCTTCCAAAGTTCTTTGCATAGAGAAGTAAGCAAAGGAATTTTTTACTTGCCAGTCCTTCAGTGCAGAATGGATTTATTTATTCAAGACCATCAGTTCTCGATCATATGTTACCTCCTAACATATTTGAACACTGACCAATTTTATTTGGTGCAATGTCTGTGTGTTCCTTTCATCTTCTTCTGATGCTTTGTGCATCATTCAGTATTTTGTCCATTTTGTTGTTATTATTGAGGGCCACTGAGTCGGTTCTGACTCATAGCAATCCAAGGAATGACTTGTGGATTTTGTGCATAGAATCCATCAATATTGCAATAGAGGCATGAATGTTTTCCACAGTTTCTCAGCTTAAGAAAAGCTGATCATGTTCTTTCATTTTGTTTTTCTAACACTACATCTTGGCACATTTTGTTATAATAATTTACTTTGTCTTCTAGAGCTACCCTTCAGTTCTTTTATGTTACCATTGCTTCCATTTGTTTTTGCTTTTCCATGTTGAAAAGCAAGTTTGAGCATTTCTTCTGACATCCATTTTGGTCTTTTTTTTTTTCATTCCTGTATGTTTGATGACATTTTTCTTCCTTTATGTATGATATTCTTGATGCCATTCTTTAATTCATATCATCTTCATTTATTAGTGTTCAAAGTGTCACATCCATTCTTTAGATGGTCTCTAAATTCTGGTGGGATATATTCAAGGTCTTATTTTGGGTCTAACAGACTTGTTTTACTTTTCTTAAGCTTCAGCCTGAACTTGCAAGTAAGTAATTGATGGTTTGTCCCATAGCCAGCCCCTGGCCTTGTTTTGGATGATGATATTCAGAGTCATCATCTTTTCTTTGCACAGATATGGTCAATTTGAATCTTGTGTATTGCATCTGGTGAGGTCTATGTTGACAGAATTTGTTTGTAATAAAGACATTGGGCTTGCAAAATTCTATCATGCAGTTTCAAGCTTGTTTTCTGTCACCAATGTCATAGTTTCCAACAAATGACCCTTCCTTTTTGTTTCCAATTTCTGCATTCCCACCACCAATTTGATGACAGGCATGATCAATTTCAGACTAAAGAGCTAAGTAGAACTTTTCAATCATTTCATCACTGGCTTAAGATGTTTATGAGTATATTTGAATGATACGCACATTAACTAGTCTTCCTTATAGGTGTATAATATCCTATCACAGAAGCATTGTAATTCAAGAGAACTTGAAAAGTTCTTTGTGATGCTGATTGGGATGCCATTTTCCCTATAATTTTTCCACTACTGGAATAGTAAACCATATGATTTTTTAATTCAAAATGGCAAAGATCAGTCCATTTTAGCTCACTAAAATCATCATGCATTCCATTTCATTTTTGATGACTTCTGATTTTCCCAGATTCATCTATTCCTCATTCTGATAAGTAATGCATATGCTCAGCTGCTTCATCGCATTTTGAGTTGTGCCCCATCAGCAAAGGAAGGTCCCGAAAACCTTGCTCCATCCTTGTCATTAAGGGTGACTCTATTTTGAAGATGCAAGTCTTTCCCTAGTGGTACTTTGGTGCCTTCCAACCTGAATGACTCACCTTCCAGCACCATACCAGACAACATTTTCCTCCTATTCATAAGGTTTTCAGTGGCTAATCCCTCCTAAATTGACCACCTCTTCCTTTTCTTTAGTTTTATTCTGGAAATCCCACGGACACCGATCCACCCTGAGTGATCCAGGTGGTATTGGAAATACCGGAGTCATAGCTTCCAGCATCACAATAAAACACGAGCCACCACAGTACAACAAAATAACACAAGTAGGGGAACAATAACAGCGGGTTCTTAAATTGTTTGCTGAACCGATACTGGACACTGGTCATTTGAACTTACCTACAAAATGTAGGAGGCATGGAAAGAACCCTTGGTTACAATGCAAAAGAATCAGGACAGTTATCTGTGAAAATGAATGGAAATTGGGCAGAAGATTAGTACTTTTCCTGCTCTTATGAAGGTTACTTTTCAGTAAACATATTTCGTAGGAGAAAATTTAAGTGGAAAGGGATTTGAAAGGATCTATGTATTTGCTCAAAGTATATTTGCATAGCAGTTGAATTATATCTTCCTGGAAAAGTATGTGGTTAAGTTACCTGTCTTGATGATATCTATAAGATTTTCTTCTGGAATTCCAACTTGTCTTGTATAATCCATATACATATCAAAGACTTCCTGAGAAACAGAGGTTTCTTTCGCTAAAAATCAATGTGTAGAAAGCAGAAAGTCTCCATAAGACATTGCAAGAAGTGTACGAGATTAAGGTTTCACCAAGGTACAACTGAACATAAAGTGCTGGACTGCAATGTCAGTTTCAACCCCAAGGTCAGTGGTTCAAGCTCACCAGACACTCCTCAGAAACAGTGTAGCGGGTCACTATAGGTCGGAATCAACTTAATGGCACTTAACAAACACCAGCTGCTACAATTTCACAGGATCCATGGATGTAATAAATTGTCAAGTTCTCAGTTGATAACCAAGGGTTGTGGTTCAGGTACATCCAGAGGTGCGTCTCTGGAAAGACCTGGTGTTTTGTATCTAAAAATATTAGCCACTGAGAACCCTATGGAGCACAATTGTGCTCCGACACACATGGAACTTCCATGAGTGGTATCGATGTGTGAAAAGTCATCCATTGAGATCCCTGTGGAGCACAGTTCTACTCTGACACACACATGGGGACACCATGAGTGGTATCAATTATGAAAAATCATCCACTGAGAACCCTGTGGTGCACATTTGTACTCCGACACACACGGGGTACCATGAGTGGGATCTCCTTATGAAAAATCATCTACTGAGAACCCTGTGGGGCACAGTTCTACTGTGACACACACAGGGGCACCATGAGTGGGATCTACTTATGAAAAATCATGTACTGAGAACCCTGTGGGGCACAGTTCTACTCTGACACACACGGGGGCACCATGAGTGGAATCTAGTTATGAAAAATCATACACTGAGAATCCTGTAGAGCACATTTTTACTCTGACACACACGGGGCACCATAAGAGGGATCTACTTATGAAAAATCATGCACTATGAACCCTGTGGAGCAGAGTTCTATTCTTACATGCAGAGGGCTGCCATGAGTTGGAACCTACTTAATGACAATTGGAACTGGAGGCCATATAGATTTAATAATAGGTCATGCCACTCATGCCACTCAAAGTTGATGTTGTGAACAGAATCACTGAAGATGTTAATGCCGTGTCATCCTTTGAGGTGGGAATGTGATGCTTACCAAAGAGCTCTGTAATATAGCTGGTCACACCCTGGACATCAACATTGATATACAATGCTATCATAACATCTTCTGTCATGTACATAGGTTTGAAATAGTTATTAAGAGTACCTGTGGAAAAATAAATGCATCAGCCTTTGAG